ATTTGTGCCTACTCGGATGGCTCATCGGAGGGGAATGGACGCTCTGCTTGGGGTTTTGTTCTAAAGAGAGACGGGCAGACTTTGCTTACGGGAAGTGGCATCAGGCATGGGGGTGAGGCTTTGGATGCGGAAATCACCGGGGCAAGGAAGGCTCTTGAAGCAGCATTGGGACTCCAGAGCGCGACGCAACGAGTCAACCTTCTACTGGATAGTCAGCAGGCAATCAACGCACTCGAGACAGGCAAGTCCACGACAAGCCACGATGAAGTACGGAAATTTCGGGAGTTGTCCAAATCAGCTCGCGTGACAATTAAATGGGTTCCCGGGCACTCAAGAATCCAGGGTAACTTGGAAGCCGACTAGGCCGCCAGGTCTGGCCTACGAATGCTGCCGAGCCCGGAAATGCATCCAGAATCCATCACTCTGGCATTTCTTTATGGCCAAATGAATCGTCTGCGGCAGGCGTTACTCGACGAATGGTGGAACGAAGCTTGCCCGCCCCGATATCGCAAGCTCGACCTGCTCATGCGACGAAGGAAACCACCTGAGCTGGGACTTTCGAGGTTCCTACTCCGAAATCTGATTGTAGCTTGTACTGGACATGGCAATTTCGCGGCGCATCATCGCCATTTCAACAATCTGGACGCTATAATGGAGTGCGCCTGTGGGGAGGAGACCACTCCTACCCATTTTATTCACTGTCGACTACACGCTCACGTCACGCGTCGACTCAGAGGGAGATCGTCACATAGTGGCTTTATCCAAAAACTTCTCGGGCCAAAGTGTCACGAATTTTTCAAAATCTTTGAGAAGGAAACCTGTTGTTTTGGGTTGCCATCTACAAATTCGTCCTCTGATCTCATCGGGGACAATATAAATTAGTCATACAGATGATATGACAGGAAGGAAGACAAGTCGAGGAGATTTATTTCCGAACCAAAGATTGGTAAATCTACAGAGCTGGATATTTTTGTGGTTAGGAGTTTGGTTTTTAAAGGTTGAATTTTTGTACCAGTGCGAATTTTATACTAGCTACTATTTGTGTAGTGGTTCAAGCGGTGGCATCAAGTTTGGCTTATCAGGGATATGATCTTGGCTGTGAACATCGGTCTTTGACCCTTAGGGGATAACGGGTATAGCCTAGGACCTAAATAAATAAATAAATAAGAATCAAAAAACATCATTTTTGCCAGAAAGCTGCGCAGCCTTCCACGCTGCCCGTATCATCAATTTGACATCGTGATTACTATTTTTACATCTTTATCACCCTCCTCCCATCTTTTCGCTTTCCATGCTCCAACATGGCGGGTGTGGGTGCTGGTGTGGGTAAATCCAGCGGATTCGACGCGTCGCAAAATGCGACAATGGCCCCAACAAATAACGGCAGCGGAGCGCAAACAGCTCCAAAGGATAAGAACCTTGAAATTTTAGGGAAACTATTGAAATAGGTCAGACTAATCATGATGGGAGAGGTAGATGAGGAGGACCTACCCTCAATGGAGGACGTGAACGAGGCCTTCAAGGCCTTCAACGCACACAAAAGGGCCTGGACAGAAATGACCCAGAAGAATTCTCCTATCGAGGAGAGGATGATGGCGCTCGGGGAGGTTGTCAAAAAGAGCCTCGCGGATCCCGCTCGAAAAGCTGCACCAGCAGTAGCTTCGGGCGCGCCAACACAAAGGAGCTACGCGTCGGTCGTGGCTCCGCAAATGACGAAAACAGCGGTTAGGTTAAGAATCGATGGCGCACACAACTTGCAGCCACAAGAGCTGCTGTCAAAGGCACAACAACATATCGAAGGCGCATTTGCAATTCGACAGATGCGAAGCAACGACACCGAGGTGTTTGTCCAGTCGGCGTCCCAGAGAGACGCGGCGCTTAACATGCGACAATCAAGCGAATTTAAAATTTTGCGGCAAGACTTTCCTGTTGAGGTTTCCGGAGTCCCACTGCAGATAAGAATTGAGGGTGGCAGAGATGCCAACAACTACGCCATCATCAGGGAGATTGAGACGGCGACGAAGGCACGTATTCCAGGCCTGGTAATTAGCAGAATACGATGGCTACATGATGGAAAGGAACATCAGCGATCGAAGAAAAACGGTCGCAATCGTGGTTCAATTGTGGTCAGCCTCCCATCGGAGGCAATGCAAACGGAGGTAGTGCGACAGGGCCTTGTTATTAACGCCATGCTCTTCGCCGCGCAGGTATGGTCGCCACGGGCTCAGCCAAAGCAGTGTTACAACTGCAGCCAATGGGGACACACGCAGGCGTCGTGTGGAAAGGCAGCCAGGTGCGGTGAGTGCGCTGGCGCTCACCAAACTCGGGACTGTCCGAGAAAAAGGGTTTCTTGTGCCAACTGCGGCAAGGAACATCGTTCATGGCAGAAAGCAGCGTGTCGGACCTACCAGGTTTACAAGGGTAGTGTGGAGAAGGCTCGGATGGAGCTGTTATCGAGAACGGCAGATATTTGGAATGAAAAACCAACAATGGCGCCAATACAAATAGTCGGAACGACTGATGATCAGGGATTTACTTTGGTCACCAGTAAAAAGGCTGAAGGACTCAAAAGAGGGCCGGGACGACCACGCAAGGTAGTCGAAGCCCCTGCGGCACCAATCATCGCCTCGACAGCAGCACCGCAATCGGGACCTACTCTTCGAACACTTCGAAGACCAACGCCGAGTGAGGAGGTGCCTTCTCTTTTCAATTTTTCATAACGTTAGTCTGATCGAAGGGGGAGTTAACGAATTTTGGGGAAAGTTTATAAAATTGCGGTTGAAAGGAACGTCCTCAGCATAAAGCCGGGTCGGTTCAAAGTGGCAGGACATCGGGTTTTGTTTGTTGAAATCTTTTTCCCTTACCAAAGCGGCTTACCGTCTTCATGGTTCTGTATATAGATACCGCATAGGACGTTAAACTAGAACAATGAATGAATCAATGAGAAGCATTTGCCAGCCGTAATAAATTCGGAATTAATTCTTGCCAATATCTTCGCATTAATGGCTGTGTTCTTGTCCTTCCCTCCATGACTCTCTTGTATATCCTGACATGAATTTTTACATGACTAATTGTATAGGGGAAGCTATTATTAAATTGATAGTTTTACTTAACTACCCCTTCATCTTATGACGAATTGATATTAGTATTAAAATTCTAATCATGGATCCGTGAAAAGTATCAAGGGTCTTGGCGGTGATTATCGGGGAGTCTGAATCGTCAAGTCATGAAAGAACCTTGTGGAAGAGGGATATTTCAGACTGTATATATAGGTAGTCTTTAAGAACAGTAATTCTCACTTCGGGCAATTATAGTTAAAATTTGTACCTACAAGATCGCCCACGCATTTTTAAATGAATCCGTGACACCAATCAACTACTGAAGCGAAGCTAGATTCGAAGTTTTTAGTCACGTGTACATCGATAACGTGGCCATCTTGATAGCCCCAAATTGTTCTAAATTCTAACGTAAATAACTATAGCTGTGGAACCTGTACAAGCATTTATGAACAAGAAGAACAGAGGAAGAAATTCACAATCACCATTGCTCTTCACGTAACCAATACAATCGATGGTGGTGAATCCTCTGAGAGCACACATCCATATTTGGCCTTACACCTCACTAAATAGAAAACTGGCCATCTGACGAGCTCCTGCTGAATTACAGCTACACTGCAGGACGATTAGCAAATAATTTGTATTTCATTTCCATCGCCTTCCACAGCGCCCCGTCACCGGACGAGCATAGAGTGATAGTTCCACTGCCAATTAGCTGTAGGATTCTCCACGAATCCTGGGGGAATACAAGGAGTGTGTGAGGGCCTATACATCCGACATTTATTCCTATTATTCATGCCAATATTGGAACATGGTTTAAGAGCAAATTATATCGACGGATAGTCTCATTGATCGATACCTATTACAATCATAAATTTAGATGGACAAGGAATGAGGTATGAGGTAGAGTATAAAGAAGAATATAGAATGAGTATTGTGGTGGATGAGAAATTGTTTTTCGACGGTATGAGAATAAATGGATATCGAAAGATGAACGCATGGTCTACGTGGAAAGTAAATGCACATAATTATATACATGTCCAATTTGCTCTACAGCCATGCCCATCAAGTAGCTGATGTACTCATGTAATGCGTACCGACATTGTTTGATCCTTGCACTCCTACTTATCAGCACTACTCATATTTGAGTCATGCATTAGTATGAACATGCATCGATATTGCCACATAATAGAACTGAGTGTCATTTCATAGTTGAATAGCCCCCTACATGAGTAGTCCAAATTTCAAACTGATTTATCGTCGTGTATAGTCGTCGGAGAAGCTGATCCTCTAGGTGTCATGCTCTTTAAACGCAGGGCTTGCGCCGGTCACGAATGAATATTCATCCATTCATACGTGAATAGCGTCGTGGTATCACGTTAGCTGGTAAGGGTGCCTGGCTCCGATTTGTAATTTAGATGACAATGCTTGAAAAAGGAGAGTTGGAGTCTCTGCTGAGTCTATGAATATGAAAGACTACAACTATTACCTAAATAGCTTTTAAACCGAATAGTAATTTCGAAAATTTATTTTTGTTATATTTACCAGCTGGATTCCGATGATTAAGTCCTATATGCTGGGAAGAAAGAGAGAATACTAGAAATTTATTACTTGGCCAAATATTCAAACGCCTTTAACCAAGTGACCCCCGTTGTATTAACACTGAGTCTTGGCTATGAAGCCCTTGCTTCCTTGCGTAGATTAGGATCACAACAAAGTCCACTGTATCCATCACATCCATCTGACATGACCACGTCTTCTACTGTCGCTCCAAAAATACCCCTGAGCAGCAATATCCCCGGAACCACACATGCTGCTTTGCTAGCACATCTATTGTTGTCTGGTAATCTCAAATATAAATTTAAAGCCCTTCAAATCGCCTCCTATAAACCTTAATCATTGATCAGCCGCTCACGAATCCCCAGATACGCCAGCTATCCCAATATGCGCACTTCTACTTTACTGAGCTGCCTCATCACCTGGCTCGTTTCTGTTGTGTCTATGGTGAAATGTCACGACAACTATAAATGTAACCATGGGGCCATCATTTCGGCAGAGCAAATCACAAATACTCTCACGCCACCAGGGATAAAAACCAACAATCTTGGTTTATTATTAATTAATAACGAAAGAAGACCCGTTTACTGGCGGGAAATCTCAGTCGCGCCTGAGTATCTCGCCATAAATGGTGAGACGTCCAACACACGAGCTCTTGACCTCCACTTTGTTAACCTGAACTTAGGTGAGACGCTCAGCTATCGAGCGGTATTTTATGATGGAGGAATATTATTAGATATCCTAGAAATCGAACATTCTGAACCAGAGAAACAGATAACTAAGTGTATCAAATTCGAGGGTGACAAGGTAGCGTCGGGAGGGTTACCGAGTGACTTGGGTAATATATGAGGAGGTTGGCAAGAGTCCAAGGTATAAATGCGTAATTTTTTCTAAAACTAAGGACGAGGGACGAGGGACGAGGGAATCTGGGATAGGAGACAAGGCCAGTGGAAGGCGGAAGACAAGAAATAGCCCTCAATTGCGGCGCTGTCCAATCCATATATACATCATAGTAACCAGTGAAACCTAGGCTTCATACGGTACACCTTCTTCTACTCGATTACTCAATTCGTACCCAATGTTAACCATTGTAACCCAGTAAACTCTATCCTCAGTTCCTGACAATGTGTAATGCTGTAGAGGCTTGATCATTGTTTCAGCGCAAGCGGATACCTAAGAGTAATCTTGAATATGTTTACAATAAGACTGTATACGTTATGGGCTAGACCCTGTTGGTTGTAGCTGGACAGTATATGGCTACATGGCCCATACTTATCTCGTGGGTGTCTCAAGGATGAGGGTTTGGCAGTGTTCCACGGGGTGCGTTGTATAGCCTAGTAAAGATATAGGTGGTAAGTGAAGATAATAAATGGTTCAAAGGGATGACAGGTCTTCTCTAGGAAGAGATGAATGGGCAACTTGTTGCAGTAGATGTTACACGTGGGTCTTGCTGATGAAGAACTGGGCAATGGATATATGGTCTTCCCGAAGAAGAGATGGGTAAAAAAATGTATTGTAAATGGTAGATAAAGAAGACGTTGCGTGAGGAGTAAATCTCTCTCACGCCGAACTATTACATACAAGAGTAGAAGCCTTTGCCAGCCGGAATTAATCATAATCAATTCTTGCCAATATCTTCGCATTGATGGCTGTATTCTTGTCCTTCTCTTCATGACTCTCTTGTATATCCTAACATGACGTTTTAGATGACTAATTGTATAGGGGAAGCTATTATTGAATTGATGGTTTTAATTAACTACCCCTTCGTCTTATCACGAATTAATATTAGTATTATAATTCTTTTTACGGATCCGTGAAAGGATGCGAGCGAGTCTGGATGGTTTTGTTTTTGAATCAATTTCGCGTCAGATCTCAACACAACCACAAGGTCTCTCGTTGGCCGGCCCAGTCTGTGTAATCTACCCATCGTGGGTTGGTTTGCTTTAATATATTACATCTATCCAACACAAATCCTGAGGAGGACCTTTGACGCTAAAGCTTACTGCCAAAGGGTGCCTGGGGCCTTCAACAGTCCAAACCTCTGAGCCAATGTCCTAGTTTACATGTGCAAAGAGTTGTGGAGGAGTCATGCTGCTCCGAAACTTGAAATGTAATGACAAATTTTCTTGGGCACGAAAACACTAGGAAAGATGAGTATCTATGTAATAGAGCTGGGTGAAAGGGTCAGCGTATAAAATCTTTTTTTGCGAATTTCTTGTCGGCATCACTGTGGCGAGATCTGTTCCGTGTCGCCGGCAGAACTCTATGCCTTACAGCCACTGAGTCAACTTTTTCGCGCCGTCTTGGCTAACAACTAGATACCGAGTGTTGTCGCTGTTGCCCCTTGTAACTCTGGGTAGCCTTACTGTAACAGGTCCGATAAGTAAAGCTTGCGCGTTCGTATGTCAAAAGGTAAGTTTATTTACTAACTGGAGTACAAGAATGCTGCTACACTTAACGCCCTATTTATATACATGATCCCAACATTTCAAACACTAGTCTCTGTCCTCTAGTCCGGCTCCCATTATTAAAGTGTGGGCGTGTTACCAACAATGTTTCGTGCACGGGCAGTACCAGACTTTCAATAGCAGCGGATCTTAGCGCTGAGGTAATGAGTATGCATGTGATGAATAGCACAGGCTACAGGCAATCTACCGGCTTACTAGCCGCCACACTTACTGAGGGAATGTGTCAGTTTGGAAGTTGCATTGGTGATACCCGTCGTGGCAAGCGATTTTGATTTGATTTGATTTTGATTGAAAATAACGTCGTGCTGTCACAGTCAAAGCATAGGCACTCGGGCAACCTTATGGTTAGAGGTAGTTTATTTTCAATCTGTGGTGAACTACAGACTAAAGAGGATGATAACAGCTATTTTATACATCATTATTATCCCTACCAATGATATAGTTTCCCATACGTGTTCACGTATCATGTTCTCGTATCTCTGTCATGGTACCTATGGTTCTCGCTTATGACCTGATCTATAAGTCACATGACGCACAATTATCTTACTTATCTGTATGATTGATGCTAGCGCAGGAATGAAGTATAAGTATCTAAGTAGTTGCACTCTAGTATAGATTGTGCAACGTCTTATTAATATATTCTTACCCGTACTTCGTCCTCTCGTAACTCCGATCTGCTTGTGACTCCGTTCCAACGAGACCTACCCGTGATAATCTCGTTCCTGTATCCCATTCTCGTATTCTATTCTGGTATCTCGACCTTTGGCTCTCTTCTTGCGGCTCGTCCTTGAGGTTTCATGATGATCTGAGTGACACTTAGAAGCTCATGTTTCCGAGAATAAGTATGCGCTAAGCCTGCGCTGTCTAACGCAGGCTACAGGCAAACACCGGCTTACCAGCCGTCATAAGTAGTCATGTAACCTAGCACGTTAATTGATAACAAACAAACAAGCCCAGAGTAGCATAGCCATGCAGATAAGAAGCGAACACATTGGGTTCAATTCCTATCTGCACAGAATAATGTTGAGCGGATTAGTTTGCAAAAGCTTGTGGCTGTTAGGCACAGATTATATCACTTGGTGAAGCGAGTGGGAAAGTAAAGGATTCTTTAAATCTGTCGCGGAGAGTTTTTGATTACTCCCACTAGGATACAGAGTGCTATATAAACTATATTTTGTAATAATAAAATCTAGTGGTTGGTGTGTGTTTTATTTTATTATTTTTGGTCCAAAGCTAAGGCTATCTTTTCCACACGTCAAGGACCGGTGGAGCCGGCAGGGTTCCCTGTAATCTTTCCTACAGCCTAACTCGTTCCAACCTCGTGAACCGCTACCAAAAGTGCAGCTGATTAAACTGAAAAGAAAAATCAAGAAAATCAAAACAACTCCGAAAAACCAGAAGATTCCTCCATATTTGACCCAAGCAATGTGCTCCTCACACATTCTCTCGTCCGTCACACCTTCCAGATGACAAATTTGCCCATTCTCCGCTGAGAGCAAAAGATGGGTTAGCAGGCACCTTTGCTTCAGCTGGTATCCTGCTATTGGTTAGTAGATGTCCCGAAAGGGGACATTGTCGAGGTTGCTGTGCCCTCAAACTTCTTCTTCAGCTCCCAGTGCTCCGAAACCTGTTGCCTCGGCCATCGAAACATCCTTTATCACGGTGTCAGGAACTGACAATAGAGGTAATTGGGATACAATGGTTGCCATGGGTTACAAATTGAGTAATCGAGTAGTAGAAGGTGGACTCTATGAGTCCTAGGTTGCTGTGGTTACTATAATGTATATATGGATTGGACATTGCCTCAGTAGAGGGCCACGTTTTGTCTTCCGTCTTCCACTGGCCTTATCTCCGATCCTAGATTCCCTCGTCCCTCGTCCTTAGTTCTAGTTACAATTGTTGTAATTCTAACAGTCCTGCATCTGTTACACTAGTCATGTACTATCTCGTTTTCGTTTCCGTTATTCGTATCATTTAATACTGCACCACATCTATTTTCTGTAATATTAATTAGTCTTGGCGCTTAACACAAGATATGTTGGAAATTATGGTATATGCATGATTCTGTCTTACACTCAGCTAGCTTGGGGGTCTACTGGTGGTCAAGACATACCATCACCATGATAATGTCACCATACTGGGACATGAGCGCATATCCTGGCTTATTTCTAAATTCGTCTCAGTAGGACTAATTCCTGTATATGTATGTAGTGTTCTTCTCCTTCAGAAATCCTCAGTTCATTACATTTACTGAATATCTCTGAAGGTCTATTCATACCCTCTTCGTGTCACCCTACCAAGCTTCACCCTTAAGCTCTATTCAACTGCTTCGTTGTTCGGCATATATCCTTCACCTCCCTATACCATTCCAGCATTCCTCTACGATCCATAACCTCATGACAACAATTACAAATTTATACCTGTAAGGATTCTTGAGAAATCCCTCAGGCAGGATTTATGGGTTCCTTATTTAATCCCACTAGTCTTTATTGCTTAGCGAGGGCACCTATGTAGTTTCCATTTCCGAGACTGAGATCTTCACGCTTTGTTTCCTGTCTTTAGGAATAGTTATATTATTCTAATCACGTCTCACCCTCGTCCTCTGCCAACTATAGTGACCTGCCGTCACCTCCGGCCCTTTTATCTAGAACGACTCCCCGCTTTCCCAATTACCACTTCTCTAGAAAGCCCTCCGCGTTCCCACGAGGCGTCCTTCCTCAGTACATCGTACCCTACGCCCTCTCCGACGTCTCGAGTCTTGCGCCTAGTGAACCTGCGCCTTACAATACCTTTGACTCTTGCCAACCTCCTCAGATATTGCCCAAGTCACTCAGTAACACTCCCGATGCGTCCTTTGGCACCCTCGAGTTTGACATCATAAGGCGTCAACCACCAATCCCTCAGTTTCTATGTCGAGCATATTCAAATCACCACAGTCACAGTACTACAACATGGACGACGCATCCTCATCCCGAACAGAATCTCCAGACATTGGTATCCAGGTTATACCATCCCAGTTGTGGAACACTCAATATTTACTTCAAGTCCCCGGAGCGTTAAACGCCACATCATCCCTTGATCCAGCCCGTGTCGCAGAAGTATTTGCCTAGACAAATCAACGGACTGAAGCACTACCCTCGTTAACAACGCCTGGCTCAGTCGAAATTCCAACCAGGATCTCAGTCCCTCCCATTGCGCCCTACAATGGAAAATCTAGCTCCCTTTGTCTGTTTTGCTCGCAGTTAAACAACCAGATCCAAAGCCACAGTCACCTTTTCCAGTCTGAATTATCGAAATTACGTTTCGCATACCAATGTCTTGGCTCCGGCGCTCTGATAAAAATGAGATTCTGCTTTCGATGTCTGGAAGATCCTTCAGCCC